CAACCCACTAGCGATGGCCTCCAACCTACTAGCGATGGCCTCCAACCTACTAGCGATGGCCTCCAAGATACTATTTCTTCAAGCATTCTAGTGTTTTTGTAAGCAAAGCTTCACAGCCACAGAAGCGCCTCAAACTGCCAGTAAGGATCCATTGGCTTCTTCGGTGGAACATCGGACTCAGTGGCTGTAGCTTCGAAGATTCATATTCGCAGCTTGCTCAGACAAAACATCAAAAGCTTCACAAATTCGTTCCATTCTTGCTTGACTTTATAGTGTATATTTCTAGGCACAAAAGTACCACAAAGTGAGCAACACGCCCTTTCTTTGCACTCGGTTCTACAGAAGTAACACTGATGCTCTCTGGAGCTAGCTCGCCTCTGTGAATTCTCTTCCACCGACCTCTCCAAATTATCCCATGGATCAGTGCTTCCACAATTGTGTGAAGCAGCATGCCAATTCAGAGCTTCAAAGGTTTGTCACGATGTTGGACTTTGGACAAACCCCACCGCGGCTGGATCAAAGAGGCGCGTGGCAGTGTTCCCGTGAGCCTGCGGTTCAAACACAAGGCAAGATTCTTGCTCCTAGTAGCGATGCCCTTTGTTACTAGTAGTAAGGCCAGGAGCTACTAGTAGCGTCCTTGCTCCTAGTAGCATGAAAAGGACAAGGCGTGCCTCCGAGCTCTTAGGACTGATACACGCTCCAGCGTTCTTGAAGAAATGCTCTTCACTACTGGCACATGTGGAGCTTCCCCACGACCATGGAGTCCGATTGCCTGGACACGCAAGTGCGGTGTAGTGTTAGACATTTGCCCAGGATCAAGGACGCTAGTAGAAACAAGTGCATCGCTACTAGTAACAAGTGCCTTACTAGTAGTAACAAGGAAGCTACTAGACACAAGTGCATCGCTACTGAGAGCAAGGACGCTACTAGGGGCTCCTGGCCTTACTACTAGGAGCAAAGGGCATCGCTACTAGGAACAAAGTGCCACACAGTGCCACACACTGGGGCTGTAGCCAAACATGCTCTCTTCGGGAAGTTGCGCAATGGTTAAGCCTGCAGGATGTCAGGTGGGTCCATGATGCCTTTTGGCAAGTGAATCAACTTTTGAAATGGAGCAACCAAAAGTCACATAACCACCTGAACTCCCATCCCATGGACTGCTGCCTTTGAGGACATCATCCTGTTCACGGTAGTAGTCGCAATCATATTGCAATGCCCGCGCCTCAGCATGTCAAGCACTTGAAGGCTCTGAAACACGTAGACAAGGTTCACCACTTGCAGCTGTGATTAACTCTAGGAGCTGCTCAATACTTGTCAAGGGGGGCACCTTTCTTCCGGTACTGTTTTCTTTTTGTAGTAGCGATGGCCTCCAACCTAATAGCCATGGCCTCCAACCTAGAAGCGATGCTCTCAAAATTTCAGTTGAGGCTCAATGATATTCGTCGTGCTTGAGACAGTGTCTTTACTGTTTGTGAGGCCATCTATGCGCCCAACTGGTTCGGGGGCAAACGAAACTCCTGGAATTCAATGCCACTGAACTGTGCTTTTTTGTGAAGCCGAAGCAGTTACAAACAGCTTTGTCAGAGTCCTAGAAAAAATCATCGATTTGTTTGATAACAGTAGAACACCTCAACGCAAGTGCAAACCCTGGACGTTCAACCCCCCTCCTCTCGTGTTGTCCTCTTTCTCTCTGTAAAAGTCTCCATACATGCGTTGCCTGGAAAAGCAAAAGACCCATCAGAGTGAACGAATTGCCGAAGAGTCGGAACAAGTGTAAACTCAGAACCATCTCAGTTTTCTGCTGCGGCCATTCTTCATCTGAGAATCTGAGCGAAATAGTGCAATACGCTTGCACTTCAGACACCATGCTTTCGCTTTTTTTGCTTCTGAGGGCTTCAGATTCTGAGATTTCTGTGGGATTCCGTACCCTGGAACGTCATCATATTGAGACCTCCGTCAGCGATCGGCCAATGATCATGGAAAGGAAGTAAGGTCCGGGAGCAGTGGGGCCCCTGAAAGTCAAGTTTAGAGAATCCTGCGTAAACGAGAAACACCCCGGATTGCGGATACCTAGCATGCATGTTCATTGTTGGAAGAGAAATGCAAGGCTCTTGAGACACGAATTGATCTCTTGCGCACAGGTCATGCAACTTGCAGACTTTCAGAACTGCGCATCTTCATTGTCACTTGATGTCACTCGTGGAAAATGCACAGCAGACTCAAATGTAATATCTTTCTTGTCGAGGGCTTCGTTGCGCTCGGTGTTGTCTGTGGTTTTCTTGGTACTTTGTTTGTGTAATTAGCTCATCAAAAGCATGAATTCCGTCTGTGTTGAAGTCTCGGACCTTGTACTGTTTGGCCTCAGAGATTTCAAAGCGTGCAAAATGACGAGAAAATCCGGAATGGCAAGGCCAAAATTCAACCTGGAGACAAATGTAAACTCTGCATGTTGGCTGATCAAGCCTCTTTACCTCACCTGAAGCATTAAAGCTCTTTGAGGCTTTGACACAAAGTCCATGACCCACCCCGCAGTCAACGCACTCAATTGCAGGCAGCCATGGTTCTTCCCTTTGGCTCATTGATTATGCTTGAGCCCAAGAGTCAAGGAGGCGGAAAATTGCTCATAGTCATTCCGCGCTCTCCACAGACATCGTGCCGAACACCCAATACATTCACCGTGAGACTCAACCCAACACCTTGGACAGCTTCGGCTTTTCCTCTCTTTCGCTGCCCTTCATCGTTGGTCTGTGAGACTGAGTGCCAGCCATTGCGCTGAAAGCGTCTCAGAGGGTAGCCAACAGCCACACTGACACTCGCGCACAGGTGTTTTGATGGCCAACCATGGGCCTGTATGCCTGTCCTCATTGTTTGTCTGGAAACACTTTAGGATATTCTCAGCTGCTGTCTGACTGCCCGTGTGGGCTTGCCACTCCGCAAGCTTGCGTTGAATCTGTGGGAATCCACGATACACGCGAAAGCTGCGACTGAACCAATTTCCTGGACTCAGCATCCACATGGTGTGTGTGTGTGTATGTGTCAAGACTGAACAAGAAGAAGTTCCTCTTGAATTCTTGTCGTATAAGATGACTACGGGGCTATGGCATACGTGATGTTCCACGGTCAAGTCCGAAAGAAAGCCACAAAGAAAAGGATGAACGAGTCAAGTGGGAATTGCGTATCATTGCCTTGTGTAAACTGAGCCTTCTGGAGTCACAGACTGTCACAGACGGTCACAGACTCGACTACCGCTGCGCCTCACTTCCGTCTGGCTGTCTACGCCTGATTTGAGCGCGACCCGTCGACCGGTCCAAAGAAAGCGAGTCCCTGTAGCAAGAAGCTACTAGGAACAAGGCACCTTACTACTAGTAACAAGAAGCTACTAGTAGCTCCTGGCATTACTACTAGTAGCAAGAAACTACTAGTAACAAGGGCATCGCTACTAGTAGCTAGAAGCTACTAGGAAGCACTTTGATGCACGCCCACGGTTGGTCAGTTGAAAAGAAGATCGTCAGCTTCATAGAATTGGGGAGCATAAAATCCCAAAGTCCGATGACTACGTGGATCGGTCAGATTGCATTGCATCTTGAAAGGACGATAAAGGTAACTGGAAGATATGTTCTCCAAGATGGCGAGGAGGACAGCGTGAAAATCTGAGCATTCTGCACTAAGCAAACAATGCTGAGTGCTAGGCCGTTTCACTTTGCCTTCAGCTTCCTGTTTGAGAAGGATGAAAGCCCATGCAGGACACTGTGCAACGCGGAACAATCTGCTGATCTGCTCGAGACCTTTAGCAACAATAGGAAAGTGTTAAATAGGTCACACCTTCCTATCCACAGTCTGTGTGCTTCACATCTAGGGATCAAGGAAGCTTCTCCCAAGCCAGTGAGTAGCTTGAATAACGAAAGTAAACCTTGGTTTTTACCTTGTTTGAAGAAATTGAAAAAACTACGAAGAACCAAAGCATTCCGCCCTGGGGCAATGAATTTCTCTGGCTAGCCGGACTACCTGGTGTCTGCGTCCAAACGACCAGCAGCACATTTGATAAACAAAAACAGGATTCTACCAAACGACAATCAGCTTCCGGCTTACGCCAAGGATCTGCCATACAAGGTCCAGGAAACTGTCATCATCAGCAAGCTGATGGAGTGCTGAGCGAACTGATTCCCGGCTGATCACGATACTGTCCTTATGTGGCGCCGTTCTAGTGCTAAAAAATATTGCAACGCCTCCACACACAAGCTACTCAAGTTGTTCAAATTATGGTGAATAATGATTAGTCCAGTAAGAACAACTCTAGCTCTCTCCTCAACTGTTCTTACGGTGACGTTAAAGAGAATATCAATCTGATCGGGAAGAGCTTTGCCAAACGGTGACTGAAGGCGTTTATGCCTTCTGCAGTCTTGTCCACCAACTCATGCCACACGCTGACATTGGTTTTCAGTTAGCTCAGTTCCCAGGTGAAAGGAAGGTGAAGGAACGGCAAGGCGAAAGGTCCAAAGATTTGAAGATGCTTGAACAAATGGTTTTCGCACATCTGCAGTTCACAAGAACAGCGGTGTCGAGCGATCAGCGCGGCTGCACATCTGCGGTGGGAAAAGGTTTTGGGGTCTATCATGAGAACAACCATGAAAACAACGAACAGCGGCAGGGTGAACCATTGGAGTCAGTGCGTTGAAAGCAGGTACGTTCTTAAGGCGTCCCTCGAGAATATCCTGACGAATGGCTGGAGCTTCGTTGGATCAGGCCAAGCCAAACGTCCCTGATCCCGATGCTGAAAGTGAGGTGGAACCCTTAGGCACAGGGGTGACACACACACACACACACACGGTGCCGCTTTGCGGCGCTCGTGCGAAGGACCTGAATAGGTACCTAAAGCCCTAGAAACAAAAGAAAGAACACAGAAAGAGCAGCGCTAAGAGGGCAAGAGAGAAAGGTAGGAGTAGAAAAAAAAAGTGAATACTTAGCCCTTGGCTGGGGTAGGGAAACAAGCCTCAAGAGCAATCCAAAAGCCCTAGAAACGACCGAAAGCGCAAGAAGGAAAGTGGGGGGGCAGGGAGGTGTATGTACATGTGTGTGTGTGTGTCCGTGTGTGTGTGTATGAATACTTAGCACTCTAGAATTACTGATTACTTAGCGGAAGTGAATTAAATGCAATAGTTAGGGAGCGGGACTTTAGTCTTAGACCGCCCGGGTAGAGAAGACTAGAAAAGGGACAACAGAGGGAAAGGCACCGACACACAAGTGTGCCGAGTACCATTTCCCTCTGTTACCCTAATTAGTGGGTGGGAGGGGTTGGGGTGTTTGGGGTAGAAACCACGTGAGGGTTCATTCTCCGTACAAGCCCGGCGGCTGTTGAGTTCAAATTGTTTTTTCCCGTAGAAGCCCGGCGGCTATTGAAGCAGTTAATCCAGTGGTGAAAAGGAGTCAGTTAAGAAAATCCCAGGAATGGAGGTTCCGAAAAGTCTGTTACACGATTTCCAGCATGACTTCAGCGCCCCAGTGACGGGGATCACACCCAGCACGCAAGTGGGACGGCTGAGCGGTTCACACTCTGACATTGGTTTTCAGTTAGCTCAGTTCCCAGGTGAAAGGAAGGTGAAGGAACGGCAAGGCGAAAGGTCCAAAGATTTGAAGATGTTTGAACAAATGGTTTTCGCACATCTGCAGTTCACAAGAACAGCGGTGTCGAGCGATCAGCGCGGCTGCACATCTGCGGTGGGAAAAGGTTTTGGGGTCTATCATGAGAACAACCATGAAAACAACGAACAGCGGCAGGGTGAACCATTGGAGTCAGTGCGTTGAAAGCAGGTACGTTCTTAAGGCGTCCCTCGAGAATATCCTGACGAATGGCTGGAGCTTCGTTGGATCAGGCCAAGCCAAACGTCCCTGATCCCCCTGCTGAAAGTGAGGTGGAACGCTTAGGCACAGGGGGTGGCACACACACACACTCTGACATTGGTTTTCAGTGACTCAGTTACCACGTTGGGAAAAAGGTGAGGGAACGGCAAGGCGCATGAGTCGGCTCAAACAGTATTGTTTAAAAAATGTTTCCACAGGTGCAAGTCTGCGGTCGGTGGCTGGCTGCAACTCACGATCGGCTGAGGAATGCAGTGGAAAACCTGTTTGTGGGGAAGGTAGCATGGGAACAACCATGAAAACAAAGAAACAGCGGCGAGGGGAACCAGTGGAGCCAGTATGTTCAGCGCAGGTACGTCCAGAAGGGTTCCCTTCCGGATATCACCGCGGTTCAAGGAGTGTCTTCGTTGAGTGGTGACTCCAAGACCGCGCACCACTCCCCTGCCGAAGTTGGTTGAGAACCCTTTTTCCAGGGGTGGACACACACAAATCGCCGGCTTCGGCGCTTTTGCAAAGAACGGTGGCACAGACACGGTGCCGCTTGGCGGCGCGTGCGTGGAAAGCCTGAATAGATACCTAAAAAGCCTTAGAAACAAAAGGAAAGAAACACAGAAAGAGCAGCGCTAAGAGGGCAAGAGAGAAAGATAGGCGTAGAAAAAATGAAAAATGAATACTTAGCCCTTGACTGGGGTAGGGAAACGAGCCTCAAGAACAACCTAAAAAGCCTGAGAGAAAGCCCAACAAACGACAAAAAACGCAAGAAGGAAAGCGGGGGGCAGGGAGGGGGTGTATGTCCATGTGTGTGTACGTGTGTGTGTTTGACTACCTAGCACTCTAGAATTACTGAATACTTAGACGAAGTGAATTAGGTGCACTAGTTAGGGAGCGGGACTTTAGTCTTAGACCGCCCGGGTAGGAAAGACTAGAACAGGAACAACACAGGGAAAGGCACCGACACACAAGTGTGTCGAGTACCATTTCCCTATGTTGCCCTAAATAGGTAGGGAGTAGAACACAGCGGGGGGGGGTTTGGGGAACCTGCCTCATGGGGGGTGAGCACCGTTTTATAGCCCGGCGGCTGTCGAAGCAATGCCGTTTTTGGGCCCGGCGGCCAATGCATCAGTTGATTCTATGGGGGTGGCCGTGACTTCCGGTGAAGGTCCAGTGAAAAGTGGTACGTTGGGGTGGTTGAATTCCGATGCAAAAAACAGCGCCCCTGTGACGGGGATCACACTCAGCACCCGAGTGGGACGGCTGAGCGAAACACACTCTGACATTGGTTTTCAGTGACTCAGTTACCACGTTTGGAAAAAGGTGAGGGAACGGCAAGGCGCATGAGTCGGCTCAAACAGTATTGTTTAAAAAATGTTTCCACAGGTGCAAGTCTGCGGTCGGTGGCTGGCTGCAACTCACGATCGGCTGAGGAATGCAGTGGAAAACCTGTTTGTGGGGAAGGTAGCATGGGAACAACCATGAAAACAAAGAAACAGCGGCGAGGGGAACCAGTGGAGTCGGTATGTTCAGCGCAGGTACGTCCAGAAGGCGTCCCTTCCGGATATCACCGCGGTTCAAGGAGTGTCTTCGTTGAGTGGTGACTCCAAGACCGCGCACCACTCCCCTGCCGAAGTTGGTTGAGAACCCTTTTTCCAGGGGTGGACACACACACACACACACGGAATCTAAAGCAGCAGAATCTAAGAAATGTGTATGTCAACTGACTTATTTGTTACTCTCACCAAATGCAAATGAAGAACAGCGTCATCCGCTGCACGAGCCAACCTCAGTGCAACGCCCCTTGTAGGCCTTCACTTGGTGCAAGATTGATAAAAGGTTTAACAACTGAAGTTCAGGTGGCTTGCAGTTCGAGGAAACACTGTCAAAATCATTGACACATCCAAATCCGATTGGAGACCGTATTGCGTAACCAAGTTCAGCTGTCACTTTGACGAGATGCGCATCCCCATTGGCAGAAGGGGGATCTCCACGAACCAGACCTGGAGCCTTGCAGTGATGGAGTCTAGCGACATGCACCGCGAAATACGTCCAAATCCATCGTGTCCCCAAAAGCGTTCCACTAAGATGTGCTCTGTTCAAGAGCTGAGTTTTGTGTGAACTGTGAAAAGAAAATATATAACGAAGAGTCCCAAGTCCCAAGGTCTGTAAAAGGAAGGAAGGAAGGAAGGAAACAAAAAAAGCAAGGAAGCAAGGAAGAAAGGTCGACAGCAAAAAGAATGAAAAGAAAAGAAAACGTGTTTCTTGTGTCCAAAGCAATTCTTACAGTAGTTTTGATAAGGGGTAGTTCAATCTGAGACCACGTCTCTATAGCAAAGACATACATTGCTCGTTCTTCTTAAGAGACTCCTTGTCAAATGTGTGAAAGTTTGGGCTCACGTTGCGAAACAAGGCCTCCATGTCTAGTCTCCGCTGTCCAACGCTGCCAAGGCACAGCCTTTGAGTCACTGCCCTTGTTTCGAAGCTCTTCCTGAGCAGATTGACGGCTCGACATGTCCAGCGTAAGCGCTAGGACTAGAGGTCAAGGGTGCAGATCTTTGTTGCCACACAAATATCCATGCAGTCCATGCAGCATAGCAAACTGTTGATTTGAACTCCTGCTGCACATCCTAGCCTAGCTATGAGCAATTCGTGACCCAAGCCACAACAAGCAGTGCCAACATCTGCACATGCGGCAACTCCAAAATACTCTTCAAGAGCAAACGGTGCAGTAGATGCTAAACGCGAAAAGGTGAAGTTTTTGAGCACAAAGAGGGCTGACTGAGGATAGTGTTGAAGACAGCAAACTGGTCCTGCCAATCAGATAAAATCATGAGGCCGAGCGTTTGACCACCTCCCATAAGGCTTGGGAATGCTTGGGATCTATTGGTTGCAATAATGATCTACGGCACTTTCAGCAGGTCTGTCTGCTTGTGCAACAAGAGAGTTGGAAAGGGGAGAGTCTCAAAAATCACTGTCCAAAGAACAGGGTGTGAAACAGCACACAGGTCCCACCAGTACTTCCCTAGAAGAGAGCTGAAACAACTGGGTGCCCAAATTCTGCAAACTGAGGAATCACCTGGAAGTTGGAGCTCCACCACAATTTTGTGCATCAAGCATCCATGGTTTGCTCAAGCATGGTCTCAACCTTCACACGCTCCGCATCATTGTGGAACCACAGGCCTCGAATCTGCTTGTTCCTTAATGTGCAGCCCAGCTCAGCGTTTGCAGCTTGTCTAGCCTTGTATAGTATAATGGACATGTGCCAGTAAGTCAACCTGAGGCACATGCGGATCTTCAATCTTGTAGAAGATGTAGTTCTTTTGGCCTTCACTTGCCAGTGTCCAAAGTGAAAGTGACTTAAATCTCAGATCCGGACAGTCCAGCTCCCACTCAGGGTGCCTTAGAGTTACAAGACCCCACAGCAGGCTTACATTGGATTTCATTTATTTATTTATTTTGCATTCCAGCTGTGTTCTGGATGCATTCCCTATCTGCATGCCTAGGTGTGGTATAAATGAGGACAAATATCAACTTGCACATCCATGTGTGTACCTTTTCAGGCATATAAATCCATATGAATCCTGTAACTATAGTAACTATAGCGTTCTATAGGCTGCCTGGACATATCAATGTGTGGAGAGAAGGCTTCTGCAAAAGGCAGGGTGAGTATGGCAGCCGCGAGCTCCATGACCTTCTTCTTCCAGAATGTTCCACTGACTATTGCAAAGAACTGGAGAGATGGAAGGTGGGGATAGCCAATTGGAGTCATTGGAGTGCTCGGCGTTGGGTCATGGCGCATGATATGTTTTTTTACTAGCCCAACTATAGTCACTAATCACTAAACCAATTTCCCAACACAAACTCCCAATATCTCAAGGAACATGTTGGGATCACACTGTGGCTGCACAAGAGCAAATGGAATACAATGATAGAATAAGGCATATATTCAGAATACACTTGGAACAGTCTGGGAATACACTCTGGAATGCACTCGGGGATACACTCTGGAATACACTCTGGAATACACTCTGGAATACACTTTTCCTTAGGACCTGATATGTCCGCAGATGTCTGAGGTTAGGAGCTACCAGGCATAACCAAGTCAGGAGTACAGTCAGACTACACTTGGGAACACCACCGGAACAACCTGTTGCCCCCCAGGAACACACTTTTTAAACCAGCCTGTGTGTGTGGTGGAACACACATGGGTCTCAGGACGGGTGGTGTTGGGGCCGGGGTAGGGTTTCTCATTCTATCAGGACGGTCTTGGCTGGGAACCTCATACATCTTAGTATGAAGCCGGACAAGCGTTGGGGAGAGGGGAGATCACCTGGGACCTTCGTGTCCATGTGAGACTCATCATTGCCGCTGCTAGTGGTACTCTTGCTATGACTTTCACTCTTGCAAGCTTCAGCTTCCAAAGTCTGATCTGAATCCTCTTGAGAGGACAACAAGAAGTCTTTAGCTACCAATTCCCATCCATCGTGTTCTGAACACGGGGAATTTGGCGCATCCACCGCCATGGTTTTCCCACGTGGCTCAGACTTCTTGAGCCAGACCCATCTCAGCAGACAGGAGATGACACACACATTGAAACACATGGGACATATTGGGATGGGTTTGGAGCACAGAACTGGTATAGTGGTAAGACACACTTGGTCTACAAAAAAAATCACTTTACCCGCTCTCAAGGTATGCCTAGTCTGAATCTTGTAAGCTTAGAGTTTTCACGACTGACTCGGCAGCATTCCCAGCATCGAAATCTCAACGCAAAAAACAAGGCCGGCAGGTCACAGATCATCGATCAAGTCAGTGGTGCTGAATTGGTTCTTCACAATGATCCGATACCTCACAGGATCTGCCATCAATCGATCCTTCTTTGATGAGTGCAGATCAATTGCACTGAAATCACACCAATTGCATTCAAAGCGGCAGTGGAGCAGTACTCCGCTTTACAACGTATACTGGCCCTTCAATGTTGGCCTTTCGCCAACCAGGGCTGGCGCCATCGTGCTGTAAGAGGTACGCAACCTAACGAAGAAACCAGGGGAGAAATCGACCTAGCTCGAAAGAAAAGGATGCAAAAGCAAAAAGGTATTGGGACTATTGAGCCTGCATAGAGCTTTGGTCATCTAAGCTCGGGGCCACAAACTTCGAATAAGTTACAATCTGTGTAATCGCTGGGTCCTAGCGTCAAAAGGAAATGCTTGAAATTAACAAAAAAAGGAAATGCTCCAAATATGGTTCATAATGCTTTGAGAACGACTTCAGAAGGCATTGAATATGCTCTTGGAAAAACTGTTGGTGCACTAAGAAGGAAACAAAATGAAACAAACAACCATAAATCATTCTTCAACAAACAATGTGGTGAAGCAACTTCACAACTTCGGCCCCCCTCTGTGCCTGCTGCTGAAGTGGTTCAAGCCTGACAGAACTTCATTGGTCAAGAACCGGTCTTCTGCTCATCTACCCCTACGCCCTGCTAAGCTGTACTGGCAAAGGTCACCTAAATCAAGAACACCTTACAAACCCCCAAGCCCTCCGACTTCTTTGAACAAGTCTACGGATTGAGCTTGCGACATTCCGCGCATGCGTTGTTGATCCATATCCCTGTTCGCCATGGAAAACCGGACGCCTTTCTGTGAACGCTCCCCGGTCTTCGAGCCAGCATGCACAAGTTAAAAGCATAGCTCCCGTCGCAACGAATCTTGTGCGACATGCCGACATGCCTTTCCAATCCTAGGTGGACTAATTGTAGGAGATTCGAGACATACAAGGTTTTGGACGTATTCTTGTGACGAGCCCTCTTGTATCTAAGGAAATGTAAGAACACACGAAGGACAAACTGTTCTTCTTCTGGTTTTATTTGTTCTTTCTAATTATGAAAAGAACAAACCAAGACAATGTATAAAGGAGTAATTAGGAAAAATATTCTTTGAAAGACTACTCTGTATTCAGCTTGTTGCTAGACGCTGAGATGTACGGCCCTAAGGCCGAATAAAGCCTTCTTGGAGGAGCGGGTAAGGCATTTCTCAGACCCAAAAAGATACTGTTTTAAATCTGTGCTCAAAGGAATAAGTGGTTAAATGTAAAAACATAAATCACAACAATACATAAATAAGTAAGGCAAAAAATAGAAGCAATAAAAAGCTGTTCCAGACCTAAGACCTTTCTCTTGTTCTGAGAACTCCAAAGTCACCAAACAACATGGGGAAAAGGCATCGTACATGATTCAAGTCCCGACAAATACCCTTTCGATAAATTTTGTTGATCAACTCAATTCGCACATGTCTTGTTGTCAAGAACTGCAGAAAGACTCCAGCTGCATCTCGTTGCATCTTTGTATCTTCGCTGCGATCTATCTGGTTGTGCTCACAGCACGGCTGCCCCTAGCTATTTGAAAGCACAACTTTGTTGAAGTTCATTGAAGAGCACCCATCCCAGCTTCAATGACTCGGATACACTTGTATCCGTCCCCCGAGGCTCATGTCCTGATCAGCACATGTCTCCCAAACTGGACGGCAGCTGGGATTCAAGAGAAGTGTCATTTCGTTTCTGTATAGTTACAGAGGCAATTGAGGACATGGACACATGTTGACGCTTCTCGTGCAACATACCAAGATGTCTTGCAAGCTTTTTTCCGAAGGCAGTGCTAGGTTGCAGGTGCTTGGTCTCATCTGCCGAAAGCACTTTGTGCAAAAAACAATGAATCCAAAGACACAAAGACTTTGCTGCGAAACTTCTCAGGCTGCACTAGATGACATTCAGCTCTCCTGGATGTTTCCGTGGGGGTCAATCCTGAAGCCCGGGGCGAAAGGAGCTTCAACGAAGCCAGCCTTCGTTGCTCAAAGTAAACAGTATTATTGGTGTTTGTGATTCAAATGCCTTGGGCCGTAGTCGTATGATATACCAGACTTGAGACCACAGAAGCGTAATTACAAGAAGTGCAAGACCTATGACCTAAGACCCATTTAAGCATTACATTTACAGCATTTTCTCGTCGTTGCCACAGTTGCGGCAAGAGTCGTCACCCGCTGCTGCTTGTGCGCCAGCATACAGTCGATATTTCGAACTTGTGCCCAGTATTTTGCATACCTTGGAGCAGTATGGAAGGCAGAGCCACTGGCCTAGCTACTAGCCACATACCATCTTACCATATCTTACCACTTTCTCCGGTCTTCACGGCTTGCACCCCGAAAAGAACAGAAGACAATTGGCTTCACTTTACACTCTGGGGTCTGAGCTTCTCTTTGACTTTTCTCTCAGCTTCCCAGAAGTCGGGTGTGATTTTTGCCGTCTGCCAATCGAGGTGGCGGACTGGCGTTGCATCAAGCAAAGTGCAAGCCTGGAAGCGAATGTGACGACCATCAAGTCCGGAATTTCTGCCATAGGTTTCTGGTATGTCCATTCCACATGAGGGCGGAACCGAAACTGAGAACTTCTCCGATGCCATTTCGCACCATACCCTTGGAAGCAAAGCCGAATGCGTTCCGACCCAATCATACTCGCTAAGCCAGCGGCCGGTCAAGGCCCCACTCGGCGTGCTCATGAATGCAGTCCTCAAGTCCAAGTACGAGGAGCTTTCTTGCCGTTACAAAGGCACCTAAAGAAAAGAAATGGGAGCGTGACAAGATTAATTTGAAACCTTGCCAAGACTCAACACAGTCCTTCCTGAGTTTGCAGGTTTGACAGCTTGGAGCTTAAGGTCTGTACAGCTTAATACATTCAAATTTGAAACACAAACTCACAGAAGTTACCTTGTGCGAGCGGACTTTGTTTTGGAGACACTGAGGTTTCTACGTCAAAACACAAAGAAAGAGTGGTTCCCTGATTGCTCGAAGTCATTTCCTATGGCAGAACGCTCCCGAAAGGCAAAACATATGAGGCTGATTTGTGCAAAGTCTTCTTCTGGCCAGCACGTCTGGTGAAGCAAATACAGTAGCACTCTCACGGGAGGTTAATCCAAATGGAAAGATCCACCAAGCTTCAAGATCAAGGACAAGACTGTCGAAGAAAGCCTGAGTATCAATGTTTTGTAGACTACATGGTAGGTCTCAACGCAAAGAGTGCAGCATTTTTTTGACTCCAAGAAGCAAAGGTGCTGTCATCTCTACGAAGTCGGTGTGCCGCATCATGCAACCTGAATCAATGTTGAAGTTGCACAAACCTGCAGACCCTACTTGATCTTTTCGGATCAGTACTCTTGTAGGATAGTTCAAGCAGATTCAAATGATTCCAAACAGATTGTGCAGCATGGGCTTCCTCAAGGCACAACAAGGTTTAGTCCAGCAAGCCAGCAAACTTAGCTTGCCAGGTCGTATCTCAACCACCTGTACAATGTCAAGCTCGGTCTTTGTCCGCAAATGGATTTGATCTTTTTGTCCAAAAAAAAGCGTGGATGTAGCCAAGGGACGTGGATCTGGTTTTCCTCAAATTCATAAGCAAACTAAATTATTGCGCAAATATATAGACCTTTCTTCCTCTTCTTTTTCTCTGTTTCTAATGGCAATGGCCTCCAACCTACTAACGATGGCCTCCAACCCAATAGCAATAGCCTCCAACCTAATAGCGCGATGACCTCCAACCTACTAACGATGGCCTCCAACCTAATAGCAATGGCCTCC